TAATCTAAGTAATATAAAAAGGACCCTTTTAACTATTTCTAAATTTACTTAGTATTTTTCTTTTTTTAAATATTAAAAAAAATAGCGTTTTCTTTTTAAACGTTAAGAAAATAGACTTCGGCCTTATTAAATTTACTTTTTTAGCTACTTCTATATTTATTATCTAAAGGACCTTCTCTTATTATCTATAAATAAAAACCTATTTATTAAAAGTTTTTATTACTTTTTATTTATTTAGCCTCGTATATTTTCCGGAGGCTAATAGGGTAAAAAAAGAGTAATTAATATTATTAATTTCGTTATAATTTAATTCGTTAGTATAAGGGGTAAAATCTTTTTTATTTTTTAAATTTTTTATAGGGGGTAAATATTTTAAGCTACTATTTTAATTACTATTACTAAGTTCCGTACTTCTAAAATTACTTTTATATATAATAAGGAATTAGTTAAATTAACGAGGGCTAGTTTTATTATTTATTATTCTCAATTTTTTATACTATTTATATAATTTAGTACGCTCTTCCTTAAAATAATTACTTAACTAATATTTATTCCTTTTATAAATATAATACTAATTCTTTTATTATTTTATTTATAAATTAAATTTTAGCCTATTTAATAAATCTAGGCCTCCCTATTAGCAATTATTATATTTAGCTTTTTTTCCTTTTTTATTATACGTTCGATCGACCTAATATTATTAATAAGGGCCGTTATATACTTAGAAATAGGTTTAGTATAGTATTTTTATTTTAATATTAAAGCTTAATCTTAGCCTAAAGTAGAGCGTTTTGTAGTTTTTAAGTACTTAGTATAAGGTTATTTTTATTTTTAATATATACTAAACTATAGTATAAAAATATTTAACTTTTTATTTATTAATTCCCTTATTTAACTAGGTTTTTATTAATTTATTAATTTAATTAATAAGCTTTTTAAAGATCTTTATTTATAATTTATCCTCTATTATCCTAGCTATAAATATAAAAAAAATCGCTTATAACTTAAATAAGAGCTCTAAGTTCTTATTATAAATCTTAAAATAGTTTCGGATTACGTTAATAATACTAAAAAAGTCGTTTTAATTAAGATTATATACCGCTTTATAATAGTAATTAGAGGCTTTATTTATAAGTACGATATTAATTACTAAATAGTACTAATATTCCCTAATTCTAACCTTTTTATAATAATTATAAAATATTATTAGGGTTTTTTATAAGACCTTATACTTCCCCTTAGAGTATAATTTCTTTTTTAAAAAGATCTTTTTAAAGTTAGTAAGTTACTTCGTATTTATTACTATATTTTCGGTATTTATATACGATTCTTACGTAACTATATATTATTAATAACTTCGGGTCGTTTATTTCCTTTTTTATTAACTAATTAGTACTAAATTTTATATTAATAATAATAACGAGCTATAAATCAAAATAAATAGAATCGTTAATTATCGTATTTTTAATATTATATTTTACCTCTATATATCCTTTTATAATAATAAATTATTATTAATAATTATAAAAAGGAAATCTACGTTATTTACCCTTTTTTAAAATTCGTTAAAGCGATTATACGCCCTATTAACTTATACTTAGTTTTATAATACGAATTCCTTTTTTATAATTATTATTATTAAAATTTCGTACGGTTTTTATAATTATAATTACGCTAATAATACCCCTCGCTTATAAAAGAATTTATTAACTACTTTTATAATTCCTAAGCTTACGCTCGCGAACTATTTATTTAACTAGTTATTAAAGTCGTTTATAATTTTATAAAATAGGGGTTGCCCCTATAACCCCTTTTTTTATAAACCTTAGTTAAATAGATTAATACTATATTAATTTACTTATTATTAAGTTAATTTATAATTCTATATATTTATATCTTTTAATAATCCGGGTTAATATTTACTTATTTATAAGGGATTAGGATTTTATTTAAAATTAGGTTTTATTTTATTTTTTTTACCCTAACTTACTAAGGGTCGTACTCTAGCTTATACTTATATTAATAATCGCTAGCGTATTTAATTTTAATAAGGATATATTTAATCTGCGCACTAACTATAATAAATCTATACTTTTATTACTTAACGAATTTATTAAAGTTTAGGAAATTCCTATTTCTTTTTACTATCTTATTACTACTCTCGTTTTTATTATTTTTAGTAATTACTATTACTTTTTTAAATTACTAATTATTATACTTACTAAGATCCTCCTTTTTATTTAATATAAAAAAATAAGTTTTAATAGTTCTTTTTTTTAATAATAGTAATAAACGTTTATATTATTATAAAACGATATAGTAATTAGTCTTAGGATCTTTATTAGTTACTAATTTTCGCTATTTCGTATACTTCTAGCTTCCTAAGCCTCGTATTCTTTATAATTTCTAAATAACCTCCTTTTTTAACTTACTTTTTTTAGAGTAGTATTCTATAAAAATAGTTAAAAATAAATACTAGGCGGCTTATAAAAGAGCTATATAAGCTATTAAGAGCTATATAGGCCGTTAAGTATAGTTTAATAAAATTAAGCCCTTTTTTTTATAAAATTATAGACTTTAAGGACTTATTAAAAATACTTACTTATTATTTATATATAATAGGGTTAAATATTTTAAAAATCTCGTCTTTTATTATTATAGTAGTAGGTACTAGGGCCCTATAGGCCCTATAGCTTAGCCTTAAGTTATAAAACTAAGCTCTTAATAATTATATAACGAGCTAGACCGCTAGGCCTAAAGGGCTAGCTTATTAACTTCTATTTATTATTTTATTTTTTTTCTCTTTATATTAAGTTTTTAGTTAATTAGGTTAATATAGTAGCGTTCTAACTTACTTTAAGAGCCTTTTTATAATACTACTTAACGTTACTTAACTAACTATTTTTTAAAAATAAAACGATAATATTTTAATTAATTAATTACTTACTATCCTAACTAACTACCCTTATTAAAAAAGCGTATAAAAGAGCTAAGTAATAGCTAACTAAATTAATTATATATAAGTAGTATAATTAATACTCCCTAAGTATATACCCCTTTTATTAAATATAATAGTTAGAAAATATAGCTAGGGAGGCTAGGTCTCCCTTCGTACTAATAGTTTTTAATAAAGTTACTACTTTTATAAGTCTTAATAAAGTATTATAAACCTTAATAAAAGCGCTAAGCTCTTAGTTATTAACTTTAAAGTCGTACTATTTAACTAGTTAGTAAAGCGCTTTTTACCTTCTATTACCTAGGCCGATTACTTAGCGTACTTTAGTAATATAGCTAACTAACTTACTTTACTTATTTATATTTATAATAATATCCTCTTTAAAAAAAATACTAAGTAATATATTAACCTCGACCTTATTTAAAAACTATATTTTAAAAATAATAAAAAGACCTTACTTAAGTAGATCAAATAGTAACTAAAAATACGTATTACTTAATATTAATTAGAGCAGGTCTTAGCTTTTATTATTAACTAGCTAAGTAATAGTACTAAGTACTTATATATAATAACTTATAAAAACCTCGACTTTACGTATACTACTATTATAGAGCTCCGTATTATAAAAAAAGCTCTTACTTAAACCTATACTTATAATATAACTATAACTAAAAAGCTAAAATAATTAAAAAATAGCTCTTAGGCTAGCTCTATTTAAAATATTACTACTTTTAGTATATTAGAATAATAACTAGCGTACTTAAAAACGTAAAATAATTACGAAACTATTTTAGCCTTATCTTATTTTACTACTTACGGCTCTTAAAAAATACTTAATATACTTATTTTTATAAATAATAATACTAGCTTTAAGTTCGATTATTAGCTCTAGTATATTACGAAATATTTAAAAAATACTAATTATAATATAAATAAGTACTACTTAGAATATATTATTAATAAAATTAAAAATAGTATTACGGAGTTTATATACTTAATATTAACTTCTAACGAAATTATTATAACTAAGTAGTTATTTTACGAGCTTAAATTAGCTTATATTAGCCCGATTATTATAAATAACGCTAATTACAAGCTAGATATACTTACGATTATATTTAAAAACGTTTACTAAAAGCGCTCTATATTTACTAAGCTTATGTATATTAATAAGTTTTTAGAATTTTAATAAAAGTACCGTTTTTATAATAAGCTACTTATATATTTTCGTAACTAAGCTATATCGAAATACTTAAATAATACGACTACTTTTTAAAAATATACTAAGTACGTTACTTAGCTAGCTAACGTAATATAACCCCTTTTTATAGAGGACCGCTTAGTTAAGGCTTCTAACTAAGCCCGCTAAACTTCGAATAAAAATAATAAAAGTAATAAAAATAATAAAAGTACTAAAGGTATTAAATAGGACTAAAGTCGTACTTCTACTTATAAAACGATCCTTAAAGCCCTATATTAAAAACTTAAAAATAGTAGCGCTTATTTTATTTATAATAATATTAAATATATTTCTAAAGATTATTTTAAAAAGCTAAAGATTATTATAATCGCGGTTAACGCTACTATAAGCCCTATTAAAATAGAGTTAGGTTTAGAAAACTAAAACCCTTAGTAAAAGTAAACTCTTAGCTAGGGGATATATATAAAAAAAATAAAAAATTAATAATTAATTTAGTAAACTTATAAAATCTTATAGAGGGCTAGCCCCTTAAAATAGAGCTTATATTAGTATTTAATAAATATAGAATTTACTTAAGAGCCTTATTTAATACGAGAGCTAATAAATACGGATTTATAAATAATTACGTAACCCTTTTACTATAATAGTTCTTTATAGCCCTATTTTATAAATTATAATACTTAATCCCTATTACTAAGTTTAATAAAGAGTAATTAGATAATATTAATATAATATAAACTACTAATTTATATATTAATTAATAAGTCTTTTTAAAAATACCTCTTTTTTAACTTAATACGGGCCGCTATAACTTAATTTTAGGGTAAAAGTAGTTCGAGTACTATGGGGTAAACCTTAATATTTATTATTAATAGTTAATATAGCTTAAAGACTTATTATTATAAAAGACGCCTTTTATTATTATTAGGGATATTAAGGACTTATATACCTTAGAAATTATTAATATATAATACTAAATTAACGCTAATTATTAATAAGACCTATTTAAAATAAATATAACTTACTATAACTAAAAGCTTTGGTAATAATAAATAAAGGGTATATTAATTAGAGTATTATTATACTTATTAAAAATAATAGCTTATTAAATATAGCGGTTAAATAAAACTAAGAATATAAAAAAAATAGAGCGCGCCCTTAACGGTATTAATATTACTTTAATAAAGAGGGCTAAGTAATAAAAACTATACTTAGTAATAATATAAATAGATATTATTTTTATTAGCGCTCCCGTTTTTAAAAAGAACTTTAAATAGAACGATATTAAAATAAGCTCTATATTATTTTATAAGCTTAACTATATTATAAAAAATAAAAAAGAGGAGGTAGACCCCTTATTTAATAATAACTAGGTTATTCGTAACCTTATAATAATAAACTTATTAAAGTATTTGCGGCCTTAGACTAACGTTTTTAATAAAATAGTTAGTAATATATTAGTACTTTATAAGCTATATAACTATAAAATCGAGCTCTTAAATAGTAATAAAAAGAAGCTAACTTATTATTCTTTATATAAATAGTTAGTACCCGAGCTAGAGGCTATAAGAGCTTATTTATTAAAGTATTTATAAAAGGGATTTATTAAGCTAAGTAATACTCCTTTTACGTTATTAACACTATTTATAAAAAAGTATAATAATAATTTATATTTTTATATTAACTTTTATAAGCTTAATAAAATTATAAAAAAAAACTACTATTTATTATTACTTATTAATAAGACCCTTACGTAACTAAGTAAAGTAAAAGTATTTACTAAACTAAATATTAAGTAGGCTTTTTATTATATTTACCTCGACTTAGTTTTTAAGGATTTAATAATATTTAGAACTCGTTACGGGGCGTATAAGTATAAAATAATACCCTTCGGGCTCTATAACGGGCCTACTACGTATTAATAATATATAAACGAGATACTAATAGAGTACTTAGATAATTTTTATATAACGTATATAAATAATATCCTAATCTTTTTTAATAACCCCTTTTAGTACTAGGAGTACGTTATTAAAGTATTAGACCGTTTATAAAAAATAGGTTTATAAGTAGATATTAAGAAGTATAAATTTAGCGTTATTTTTATAAAGTACTTAGGTTTTATAATTTTTATAAAAAGTATATAGCTTAATAAGGAGAAAGTTTTTATAATTAAAAATTAGAAGTTACTTATATTATTTAAGGGTATTTAGTCCTTTCTCGGGTTCTATAACTTTTATAAGAGATTTATAAGGGATTATAGCCGTTTAGCTAGGCCCTTTATAAGATTAATAAATATAAGAGTTCTTTTTAATTTTAATATTAATTATAAAACGGCCTTTATAGCTATAAAGCTAACGCTAATATTAATACTAATTTTTTATTATTTTAAATTAGAATTATTAATATAGTTAAAAACTAACGCTTTTAACTTAGTATATACTAGAGTACTATTATAATAATAAAAGGATAATGGGTTATAGTACTTAATAGCCTTTTATTTAAAAATAATAAGTAGTATAGAGCTTAACTATACTATTTATAATAAAAAAATATTAATAATAGTATTATATTTAGAGAAATAGCGCGCGGAGCTTATAAGCTATAAATATAAGTTCGATATTATTATAGACTATTAGCTACTACTATTTTTTATAACTAAGCGCCTACTTAACTTATAATAAGCCCGCTAGGCTAGTATATTAATAGATTTTAATTTTTAAATTTATTACTACTTAAGGAAAAAGAACGTACTAACTAACGCCTTATTATAGAAAATAGAAAATATTTATACTTAGTAAGTACTAAAAGAGGTTAATAAAACCTAAGTCCTCTTATTATTAAGACTACTATTCCCTAATATTATAACAGAGCTATAGGTACTATTAAACGCTATAATTAGTTAATTATAGCTTATAATTAGCTCGTTCTTATTAAAAAACGAGCTCTAGGGGTACTTATTAATAACGAAAATTCTAAAACTTAATAAAAACCTTATTATAGTATTTTTTATATTAATACGAGTACTAGTAACTAAAGAGTACGAGCGCTAATTTATTTAAAATAACGGATTATTAATAATAAATAAAAAGCTCGTAGTACTTAAAAAAGAGAACTTTTATATTATAATTATCCGCAAGGTCTATAAGTAAAAGCTCTTTACTTATTTAGAGTATAATAAAGTTATAAAAATAATTAAATAATAATATTACTAGCCGGGCTTAATAGCGGATACTTATTAATATATATAGAACTATTATACTTATTATTAATTATAAAAGTTATATAATAAGCCCCTAGGAGAGCTAAGGCTATTTTTAGTACCTAATTACTTATAATAATATATTTTTACTAACTTTATAACTATCCTTATTAATTAAAAAGGATTTAATAATATTTAAATAGTAATAAACTACTTAGGTAAGAGAGTAATATTTATTCTTTATTATAAAACTATTATAATAAAAGATATAAGCTAAATATTTTACGAACGGGTATTATTTATTTTTAGCTTATTAAAAACTATTATATTAAACCGAGGTCCTTAATTTATTTCCGATTTTTAAAGAGAGCTTTATAAGATTTACGGGGTTAAGTTATAATTATTAATAGCCGATTACCCCTAGATAGATAGCAAAATAGAGGTACTAAACTAGTATATTTTATAATAGTTAAGATTATTAGTTAACTAATACTAAGATAATTAAAGTAATATACTATTTATAGTTAATTTTACTTATATTACTTAGCTTAATAAGATTATAAGGTTATTACTATATAAAATAAAATTCGGTCGTTAGCTATGGCTTTTTTTTAACTAGTTTAAACGAACTTACTAATTTAGCTTTATAAAAAAAAAACTAAACCGTATTAACGTATAATATATAACTTAGGGAATATACGAGGCTTAAGAAACTACTAGAAATAATATAAAAGTTATTTAAGTACGATATAAGAAGTATACTAACTACTACTAGTACCTAAATAACTTAAAGCTAAGAAACCGGGTCTTTATTAATACCTCGTATTAAAAATTTATTAATATAAATAAGCTATAATAGCTATAAGCCGGGCTATAGCTTATTATTAGTATTAAATAAGAGGGTATATAAATTATAAAATTATTAATAAATAACTAAGTATACCTAGTTTTCTACCTAAATAAATTAAAAAAGGCTACTGATAACTTACTACTTAAGTAGAACTAAGACCTATTATTACTAATTATTAATAATAATAGTAAACCGGAGTACGAAGTTTTAGAGGTTATTAAATTATGCTTATATAAAGAAAAACTATAATATTAAGCGGATTAAAAAGGGTATAATACGGACCTAATTTAGTATAACGTAAAGAGCTTTAAGTATATATTAATAGCGCTCTAAGTATTTTATTACTAATACTTAACTATTAAAAGCCTATTATAAAACCTAAGTATATAAATAGAAGCTACTGTAGCTAGTGATTTATTATTATTAAAAAACGACGATAATATAATAATAGTAATTATAGTTATAAATTTATTAAAATAAGGGGTAATTTAGAGGTTTATTTTTTAGTATTATAGATAGTACTCTTTAGTATAGAGGGGGGAGTAATATTATAATAATAAGTACTAGGGCCCTATAAGCCCTATAGCTTAGCCTTAAACTACGAAGCTAAGCTTTTAATAATTATATAACGAGCTAAACTACTAGGCCTAAAGGGCTAGCCTACTAGCTTTTACTTATTATTCTATTTTTTCCCTCTTTACGTTAAGTCTTTAGTTAATTAGGTTAATATAATAGCGTTCCGACCTACTTTAAAATCCTTTTTATAATATTATAGCCTCTCGGTACCCTATTTTATATTTTTTAAATAATTTTTTTTATAACTTAATTATAATTAAGTAATTATTATTTATTAATAATCCCTTTTATTACTTAGTTAATTTTTTAAAATTAGTAATTTTATATTAAGAGCTAGTATAAAAAGAAGCTTTTTAATAGCCCTCTAAAAAAAAACTTTCTTTTCTTTTTAAATCCTCGTTTTTTTAGCTTTTTCTTAAGCTAATAATAACTCTATCGGGAGGTTATAAAACTATTTTAAAATAATTACTTTTTTTTAAATTAATCTCTAAGATTTATAATACTCTTAACTTAATATTATTAAGACCTCTAAATCCCCTCTTTTTTTATTAAACCGTCCCCTATATTATATTTTTAAATAATATTTAGGAGGTAATTAAGGGAGCTATAAGGAGGTTATTTAAATTACGAGCTTAAAATTATACTTATAAAAACCTTATAATAATAAACTTTTTTATATATTATAAATTTCTTAACTTAATAACTCTTATACGCTTCTTATTATACTAATTAAAAATATTTATATTTAGAAATCTTTTTTTTTAATTACGTAGTACTTTTTTATATTATATTATGAAGCTTATTTATTATATTAATTAATTAAGTAAGTAGTTATTACGTAAGTATTTCTTTTTATTAAGTTAATTAGTTAATTTTTAATTACGGGCCGGCTATAAAAAAGTTATTTAGTAAAAAAGCTATTTAAAGTAATAATAAAAATCTAGTTATTTAAGTAGTTTTATTAATTAATATAGTTTAATATAATAAACGTTAACCTCTTATAAATAGTAAAAGGCTATAATTATTTAATTCTATATAATATTTAAAAATCGCTTCTTTTTTTATTTATTTTTATAAAGTTAATTAATATAAATCTTTTATTTTATATAATATTAAAAAGTCGTTTTTTTTACGTAGCGAGATACCTTACTAATTTATAATAATAAAATTTAATTACTAATTAGTATTAGTATCTTTATTATAAAATAGTTAGTTCGAACTATAAGTTAACGAAAAGATTAATTAAACTATATAAATATCTACGTAATAAGTATAAAAAAGAGGTTCTAACTATAAGTTAAGCTAGCTATGATAATCGTAAATAGGGCCCCTAATTAGCCCCTACGTAGTCGGCCGTATGCCGCGGTCGAATTAGACTTCTAATCCGACAATTTCTTCTTCTTAAAGTCCAACATCTAGGTATCCCCAATCCGTTTAATGGCCATGAGCTTCTTACTAAGCCTTAAACATTTAATAGGGCAATGGAGGAGTGCATGTTCAAAAAGCACTTGGCGAAATTTCGCCATGTCACTAAAGCAACAACTTATCTCACGCTCTACAACTACACAGCAAGTCATTGTCCCCATTGATTCGCTTTCTTGCAATAATATCCTGACCGTTCTGGCTTGACTTAGGATCCATCTTTGAACGCGACAAAAGAAGGAGATTTGACACTTGACAACCTCAATGACTTTATATACGAGCAGGTGAGACTTTTAACCCCCTTTAATTCTCTAACTACTCTTACCAGCCATCCTTTTGCTACAAAAAGATTCCTTAGCACTAAATACTATCGAAGGGCGAGTTCCATCCACCGGTCGTAGAAGAAGAAAGCAAACTTTCGAGCAAGCTTCGTTTAATGTCAGGACAGACTTCGAATGGCGAATGCCACAGTGACTGACATTTCGAGATAGCATTCAGAAAGATGCCAAGGATTTGGAAACATTCACACCGCTGAAAATTCCACTGCCACCAGCACATTATCAGCAAATGCTCAAATGCCTACGGCTCCCACTGCACGCCGTCGAACTGACCACCTTTCTTGGACCTCTCTTCTGGTACAGATATGTTCTTCTTGAAGACGATGATCCTCACCTTCGTAAGCTTTCACCACCTTATACTCATAGCCTCAAAGCTCTGGACTCACTTCGTATTTAGAGATGGTCTTTGGAAAGCATGATAGCCGTAAGAAGACCGGAACCCGCGGCTGGGAACTGATTCTATCATATTCTTTCAAGCGACGCGAGACCACAGGCTTCGTCAAATGGACACCTACCGCCGATATCGTTGAGTGCTTGTCAAATTTGCGAGATTGTGTTCTTGACATATGCCATCCACTTCTCATCCCCAGCATCATCATGTCTGATCTCGTAGCAACATCTAACGAAGTGAAACAACGAGAAGCCCGAACTAGCATTCGACAACTAGAAAAAGCAATCAGTGTCAATGACGATACTACAGGCTTTTACTACTCAAAGGACGGCACCATCGACTTACGCACAGTCGCAAGTGATCTCACAGAACACCACAGAAGAATTCTTCATAGACCACCCAAACTTTACTCCAAGGTCATTGATGCTTTGGAAGCTGCCACAGATTGCTTCTGGGCACATGTCGACCCTACTCATAAGACCAAAGCGTTGGATCAGCTCCATGCGACTTTGAAGGACCGTTTTCATTGTCACAGAGTACGACTCGTCGGGTTGGAGAAATACGTTTCCATATCCGTGGAACGCTTGAATATCCAACGAAGCATGGTCAGAGATATACCTACGCATTATATACCTTTAGCTAGTAAGGGTCGCGAAACGTTTACTAACTAAAAGTACCTTAGGTTTCTTTCATTACGGCCGAAATTGCACAGAAGGATGCGAAATTGAACCTCAAGATAGCAGGAGATCAGAGAAAAATAGCTCATGCTAGTAAGAGCGATAGTCAGGCAATGAAGGCCCTTTCTCTTCTCGGTGCTGCTTTTCTGCCTGGCACATTCATCGCCTCCATTTTCAGCATGTCATTTTTCGACTTCCAGACTCGTTAGTATCAGTGCCCTTTTAATTGTTTCCGTATTGTTCAATACTGAGACTTTCATATGATAGAAGTTCATGTTTCGTCCAAGATTTGGATTTACTTCGCGTTTATGGTCCCGTTGACGACGGCAGTCCTTCTTGGTTGGCTCTTCTGGGATCATAAGCGAAGAAGATTGCAACACTTGACAAGGTCATCTTCCAATAACAGCGGCTCTGACACAGAGAAGGCAATCATGTTTGAGATATCCAAGAGAGCGTGAACAGACTCGGCAGTTGTGTTCACTAGCTTCTAAAGGTCGTTAATTTGTTTGCAGGCTGCGAGAAACATACCCTAGTACAAAACCATTTGGGAATTTTTGTATCTTTTCGGTCGCATTTGTCCGATTTCTCGAATACAGTCACTCAGAATTTCAAGCCCACAGGGAGTTCACTTTGCGCCTCTCTTTGCGACTGTGAACGTATTAAACTTTAAGGTCATCATCAATCGAGACCCGGAGCCGAGAGCGGGGCTGGCGGGTGACTTCGGGCCCATACTGAAGTCGGAGCCGAGAAGGCCGGCTGGACTTTGCAAGTAATGGATGGGGTCTTGCGCTGCACATGCCAGCTCGTGCTGCCTCTTCTGGCTGTAGGCATTGAACATTCGTTCACATCGGGACATGCCATAACAGTGGAGACTCGGCGTAGTAGCATAGGGATGTTGCATGACTGGGACGCGCAGCAGTGGCGACGATAATGAAGCAACAGAAGGAATCCCATATTTCATCAAGGTTCCCCGTTACCTGCGAACAGATACATCGTATCGAATCGAGCTAGTCGCCGAAGCATAAATAGGAATATGGGGGGGTTCAGTTACAGAGAAGGAGCTGAGAGTATTGGAATAATCTGCCCATTGTCGGTGGGCTTGTAGGCTTGTTCGATCTTGGCGATGAAGACAGCAGTCTAGCACAGCCACGATGATTTCATAACCGCTTATGCTGTCCGAGAGACAAGAGAAACCTCCACGCCTATCACATGGCACTGACCCCTTCACTTCTGTCTGCCCTGAGTAGAATATCTGACCTTTACGCAGTACAACCTGCCAGTTTTTGGGATAATACTCTACAACATTCTTATCTACAAGCCTGAAGAAGGTAAAGCCTTTGAACCGCCCAGTCCAGCTCGGCTGCCGATCATATTGGAGTCGACTTCCGAGGGTTGGCATGATTAGCGAACAGCAAGAGACGGACTTTGGGAATCGGCGCAGCTTTCGGACAAATGACACCTTGGTTCATTGATTGAGATTCGGGCAACCCGATGTGGGGGAAGCAGAATTTCATCTTAATACCTTCAAGTTTCCACAAGGAGTTGTTCTGGCAAGAATCTTTCCTGTTTCCCTACAGCGGCTATGAAAGACGGCTGCAAGGATCTATGCGGTCGTCCAATAGGAGGCCATTCTATGCTCGATTCACCTTGTATTAGGACAAGTGGGCCGTTGCCAAATGCAATACCGAGCGAACTACCGCGCTGATATGTTGAACTAAGCTTGGGTTGACATATGCTTAAATCCGGAGGTGGGTACGGCCTCGGTCCGTTCTCAACCTCGATGGCACCATCACTATCAGTGGACAAATGATAGAATCACAACTTTGGACGTGTATCATTCGTCAACAAGAATAGCTACTGCTGCCGCGTCATGCCCATACAGACGTTGCTATGCTCTGCAGATCATGAGCCTCAAGTTGACTTCCGAACCTCCGAGGACAAGAGCCGAATAGACCGAGGTTTGTTCCTTATGCTGCCTGGCTTGAGGGCTCAAAATGCAGTTCAACCACCATTGTCAGTTCCTTGACCTCGAGAAAACGTCTAAACTTGAACACTATGTCGCTTAGCTTTCTCAACAGCACCATGCGCGCTGCCGTCATGACGGGGCCGTATCAAGTTCATCTTGATCAGTTCCCAGTGCCACGCATCATCAATACAACTGGCGCAGTAGTTCGGTTCACAACTTCGGCGCTTTGTGGTCCAGACCTGCACCGTTATCATGGCTATATGGGAGGGGAGCCACCGTGTGCGCTGCGCCACGAAGCTAGTATGAACCTACTTCTCGGGCAAGAGTATGTCCTACTTAATCACATGAAAGCTAACAGTTATACAGTGGGATATATTGAGTTTATTGGTAGTGATGCATCACATTTAGTGGTGGGACAATATGTCATGTTCCAGCTAATGGCGCTACCTTACTGGACACATCGATATGGGAGTTGCGACTGGATCTCGCATGGGCCTAGGCTTCGGAGGTCTTAACGGAGGTCTCCAAGGTTTTTACTCAGATTCTCCTCAAAAGTTTTGATTCTTCGTTACTAATGATGCTTAATCGGCTCCTTACGCCAGAATACCGTTCGCCGACATGGCTCTTATTTCCGTCCCCTTGACCGCCGAGACCACCAACACCAGCATCGAACAAGACTACCTGACCGTTTCCGATGTCTTCTCCATCGGATGGATTGTTGTCACTAGATCCGGCTTTGAGCCCGGCGACACTGTTGCTGTATTTGGCGCTGGTCCCGTGGGCCTGCTTGCTGCGTACTCCGCCATACTTCGCGGGGCATCTCGGGTGTACAGCGTAGACCATGTCCCCGTGAGACTTGAGAAGGCCGCATCCATCGGAGCCATGCCCATCAACTTCATGGACAAGGTTCCCGTACAGCAGATTCTCGCATACGAGCCCGGTGGTGTCATCCGAGCCGTCGACGCCGTCGGTATGGAAGCCATCACTGCCAACGGTACAATGCAGCAAAACATCGTGCTGAATCAGATGGTCGAACTCGTCGCTGCAGGGGGCGGATTTGGCCAGATTGTAATCTACCTGGCCCAACCAAACACTGGCTTGGCTCCGAATGCAGAGAGAATCACGCCGGAAGTCTCGTTTTCCCTCACCCAGTTCTCTTCGAAGGGTATCAGATACGAAGGTGGTATCGCAGATCCCGAGACTGTTGCTGGCGAGCTCGTCAACTTGAATCCCAGAGGTATTGCGAAACCAGGCTTCGTGGCTAGCGCATCTATCGACATTGAGGAATTCCCTGCGTACTATGAGCGGTTGAGCAATCAACAGGAGCTCAAGGTATTCATCAAGTTCCCTGGAATAATGAACTCGATGACCGACTAGCCTGTATAAATGGGCTGAGTGCATCTGCAGGATATCCAGGCACCCTTTCTGGTACTTGGAGTCACGGGTTGTATCCATCCTCGCGACATGTAGACTCAAAGAGTTTACTTGCGAGGAGTCAACGGGCTTTGCGGAAGCACAAATTTCAAGAGCACGGTATATCTGACTAGACGTTGCCCTCACTAAACTTCAACTCCTTGTACATATTACGTATTTGGAATAACTTGAGACTGGCTGCTTGTTTTCATCAAGACTTGTCCATGACCAGATCCAAAATTGTAAGATTTGGCCCAGTCCATCTCTTCCCTTTGATGAACCATAGACCTACTGCAACCAGCAGGACGAAGACCATGACTGGTCCGCAATAATTCATGTTCTCTGCAGTTACAGGAACCGTCGAAGGGAAAGGTAGGAATACAATGACATAAAGGGTGTAGACCAAGGCAAACGAGTTGATATAAAGACCGAGCCGACCAAGGTTCCACTCTCCTAGTTCAACACCTCCTTTGGAAGAGAAGCGAGCGTACAACATGCTGCTGATTGCGATCGCATAGCTGAGGTAGAGAGCCATGGATGAGAGGGAAGTGATAGCGCCGAAAGCAACGTAACTCGAACTTCCAATGTTGAGAAGACAAAGAGCACAAACAATGAACACCGTGACGATAATGGCGCGAATCGGTACGCGGTGCTTTGGGTGGACGTATGCCAGATAAGCAGGCATGCCTCCGTCCCTGGACCAGGCCCAAGTGAGACGGGATACGGATGCGATGTTGGCCAAGTTGACGCTAAACGAGACGACGAAGAGGCCGGTGATCATGGCCGTCGTGGCGCCCTTGGAGCCGGTAATGCTGAGAAGAATGGTGAGAATTGGACTAGCCGAGTTGAGGGCGTCGTCGATTGAGCCCATTGAGACGATAATGACGCAGACCATGATGAAGCCAAGGCATCCGTTCATAAAGATGGACCAGAACATGGCACGAGGGACCGCAGACTTGGCCTTTCGGGTTTCCTCGCTCATGTGAATGGCACTGTCGAACCCTGGACAGATTGTTAGTCAAAACGTTGGATTATCTCTGGAAGATTGGCTCATACCGGTGAAACTCCAAACACAAGTCAACATGCCGAGATTCCAAGCAATGAAGTTATCCGTCCATCCAGACGCAATGTTGGTTTCCAAGAAGAAGCTGCTCGAGTGTCGAGTCCCCATCACGGCCAAAACCACGACAAAGACGACGGACAAGCAGACATGAAGAACTCCAGCCACAAGCTCAACCCACGGGATCACTCTAAAGCAGTACGTGTTCATCAAACCCTGAATAACGCACATAGCGATGACGAGCACCGAGGTGTGCCAACCTCCCGGCACATAGTCGGGGTGGTTCAGCTCAATCATAGACTCCAGGAGAATTATGGTGACGTTCGCAATGCCAGCAAGGAGCGACACATAACCAAACCACGTCGACCAACCCTGAATCCAGGTTGCGAAGCGCTTGACGCGTGCGGGGGCGAGGTGGAACGTCCAGTGGTACTGGGCACCGGCGACAGGTTGGATTGAGGCCATCTCGCCCAACGAAGCGGCTTGTGCGATGGCTCCGCAAAACACTATGACGAAGCTGAAGATGAATGTTTGAGGGCCGCCGTTGTAGAGTGCAAAGTACATGTTTCTTGGGATGGAGTCAGACCAAACACGGCCATGAATCTTTAGAGCGGATCGACAGTATACTTACGTGCACATGCCTTCCCATAAGGCCATGTAGGTCAACGAAAATGCGAAGAGCTGGGAGAAGGAGAACACTCTCCGCGTCCGCGTCTGGTTGTAGACTTCGGATCCATGTTTTGACTCGTTTGCGTCAATCTGACTGGCGTCTTTGGCGGCGGGCTGCAGCTCGATTGCTTCTGCGGGAGCCATGACGAGATGCTCGAGAGACCAATTGAGGCAGTAATAGAAGGGAAGTCAACAACAAGAAAGCGTTCTGAGTTTTCTTGATGTAAAAATGAGGATGTATGATATGCTTTCGATCCGCGGCACATGTAAGAGTCTCTTCAAGGAGTCGAGTTGGGGAAGATCAAAAGAGCCGGGCAGCACCTCCACAGCCTTGGCCAAATGCTGCACCATATGCACATAAATATCAGCAGGTGTAGCCACAGACGAGAGAAATGTGAGACAATGACCCCAGTAGCCGCAGTAAGCTTGCAGATGGATGGGCGACTCTGAACCTAGGGAATGATTGGCGAAGGGAGTATCCGGATCATCTCCTTTGATGCAGCTACGACTGGCGGTTGGAAATCAGTACCAACGAGGATTTAATCAAAAATTCGGACTAGGTTCCGCTGAATATGCATGTTGAAGCAAACACTGCTTCCTCGATGGGAACTATTACCGACCAACAGGTGGCCTCCGCGGTGGGTTCGAGCCGGGGTTCCTGCATGCCGGGAGGGGTTCGACCACACGGACTCTAACCGTACCGTTCCCGGAGCTACTTGGCATCACCGGACCCTCCAAACTTTGCAGTTGGATCGATCACATATGGTCTCTGCCGGTCAGATTCCGTTGTGGTCATCACTTCGTTAGTCGTGGGCTGAAGAATACCCGGGTACCAGGGTTACGCTGCTTTGCGCCCATGTATTCGTCACTTCTCCGTGCGATCTCCCAGCGCGACTCAGGGTGAGGGAATCGATATCCAAGGTACCTGCAAATATTCTAACTCCGATCCTAGGTGAATCTGGTCCGGATGTCTGAGCTCCTCTGCAGAGAATGTAATCCGACCCATTGATCGATCTCACAACGATGGTCTGGATGCTTGCATGTGGCTGGGGTTTAGGGACTGCTGTCTTCTGAGAGGCATGTGTCCGAGCCAATGAACGCAGTGAAGACTAATTGGGCATAATCAAGTTGGAGAGCAAACTTTGTCAGGTTACGCGCGGAAGCTTACTACTTTACGTGCCATTTCAAAAAGTACGCACTAGAGTCTGGATACGGACACATGAAGTGTGATGTTTCCAACAGTCCCAACGAAGCCTGCCATGTTGATCTTAAGGACCAGACTCAAGATGAGTTCAATTTAACTGCTCGACATCTTATTTGGTCTTTTGACTCCACATCATATGTACCACGAAACTTCTCGTCGCATCAGATGTTGGCCCACAGGCAAACTTCGCTTCCATCCTTGCAACACGTAACAGAACCACAATGGAAATTTCACCCCGCGCACACAGAGAGGGTTTTTTGAGAACCCGACGGAAGGACTCAAACTATGTAATAATCTCAAAGATTTGGTAGGCAGTCTGTCACCCTTCTTACGCACGAAAGACAAGGCTCCGTCATGTGGGACTTCCAGGCACATGTATTACCTGTACTTAGCAAGTGCACATGTATGTTTAACTCACTCAAGACATGACGGAGTTCACACACTAGCATGTTTGGGCCGAGCAACCCTACTTTAGATTCTGTGTTGGTTGATTTGCTCGACACATGGCACGGAGCTGCTGTGTAGATCTTCGCAAACTACTCCGGATTCTGATCAGAACGCCGGGCTGTTGGATCGATGATGAATTGCCCACACAATTACCATGGGCCTGCCCCCCCCCCCCCCCCTTGTAGCTCATGGTGCTTATTGATTACAAAGTTCAAACACTCTGCAACCCCATCAAGGAAACAGTAAAACCACGAGGACGAGGCTCAACTAAATCCTTTTAGCGAAGATCATGTCAATGGACCAGCCGAGTATGGCAGTCGACATTCAACCAGATCCTCCATTCTACGCATTGACGGAAGACGATCAAGCTGCGCTAGTCGTTGTTGCCTCGCTCATCTTCCTCGTTTACGCCATCGTCGGAATATCTTTGAAGCTTATCATTCGTCTCAACATCACCTCTTTGAAGAGCCACGATGTAATACTATTAGTCGCGACCGGATTACTTCTCTCACAGACAGTCTGCATCATCATTGCTTGCAACCACGGACTAGGCCATCATCAAGATATAGTAGAGCCTCATGATCTCGAGGCATTTCACAAGGTATGCAGCCATGTAGCAAGAGCAGAAGTAGAGACGAAATTGACCAAAAGTCATAGCTATTCTACGCTTCCTCCATACTCGCGATTGCGATTGTCGCTAGCACGAAGATTTCGATATGCCTCCTCATTCACTCCATCAGTAATCACGGACGACTGAATCTTGCAAACAAAGTACTCTTCGGTGCCATCGTTGCTTGGGGCATCTCTGGAATAACGATGACGGCCTTTCAATGCTCCCTACCACAGCCGTGGCTTGCCACTGCTGGTAAGAAGTGCCCAGGCCGAGAGGGTATTTTCCTCTACAACGGCGTGATGGACATCTTTACGGATGTTTGTCTATGTCTGCTTCCCGTCGCTATGATGTGGAAAGTGCAGACTGCGTTGAAGAGAAAGGCAATGGTTGTTGCCCTTTTCACCACGCGCATCATGTAAGTTGCTCCGATATTTCAATTCAGCGATGTATCAGTTGACAAATCTTTCGCACAGCATTCCTATAATCACGATTCCGAGACTGATTCACACACATATCATGGTAACAGACTACACTGACACGACATGGAACGCTGTACATCACATCATATGGTTACAAGTCTCACTAGGCATGTCAATCCTCACAGCATGCATCCCAAGTCTGAAGGGAGTCATCGACAGCCTTTTCGGGTCCACCTCCGTGGCCGCCATTCAGGCACCTTACCATTTGTCCTCGTCAGGCAAAGACGGCGGTAGGCTTCAACCAACGACTTGGCCGATCGGCAGCGGGTCCAACACGAGACCGGAGTCTCATCTGGCGAGCGGCGCAGGAGATTCGGGGATCGCGAGGGCTGGTTTGGCTAGAGTACCCGAGTGGTCGGTCGGTTGCAAGGTCCACGGTTATGCAGAGAAAGTAGCTTTCGGTCGCAGTGAGAGTGTGAGGAAATTGACCGAAGATGGAGAGTTTGGGGCGTCTTCTGATGAGAGGCGGAGATCGAGCTCACAAGAGGGGTCCATGAAGTCTGCTGGGGCTGACTTGCGATTGTAAATTGAGATCATCTGATTTATTTGCATAAGTTACAAGACCAACTATGTTAATTGAGCTCTTGGGGGAAATCATCTCGGTTTCGAATCACAGCTCTGTGTATTCGGATAGTCTTCGGAGAGAAAAAGCATTTGTGACTCATCTCACTAGGGTTGGAGATAGAATCAGCCATGAGTGAGCTTGGCAAGACAAAATCTCACAACTCTCTGGTCCTGCCTGTACAAATCCAATTAGATGAGTCAAATATGACCTGCAAGACGCTGAAGATCCGCGACAAATCGTTCTAATTCATTCGCGTACACGAGCACGGGAACTTTGATGAGAGCGAGTGGGCGAATGAGATCTCACACCAGTAACCCGAGGTGGCGCGATCCTATATAGTGCTGCGGGTTCGGGGATCCGGAGTAGTGGAGATGTATCCACCAGATTGATCCGCTTACAAGTAGAGTACGTACAGTATCCGGAGTCGACGGGAATCGGAATGCATTGCCGGCGTGAAAACTTTCTCTTCTTGTTGCAGTCGCACGGACAGTTATGTACGCTGGCAGGGCTGTGTTCCTGACCTTGTCCTTCCCATTTCCATCCCTTATTATCCCTCGCATTCGCGGTGCAGAACGGCCCGATCCCAAGACGCGTTTGACACCACCCAATCCAGACGGAGAAAGTAAAGGAAAAAGAAGACAAAGGCAGACAACCATCCTGGAGGAACACACAGACTCCCTCTGATGCACCTCAGCTTTGGGCTAATCAAAGCAAACCTTACGGGAACCTAAAATCCTCAGCTGGGCCCCTGGCTACTACCTTGAAGACTTAATTGAAAACCCAACACCTGCCACCTCACCTTTTCTCCGCCCTACCCTTCCCGTGTCATCTCACACCCTCGTTCTGCGACCGAAAGTAGAGCCGTCCCCCCCGCCATGGACCCCCGCGACCGAGACGACCGCACCGGCGAGACCACGCCGCTGCTGTCGGATCAGCCGCATCACAAGCCGGACATTGAACCGGCGGGTAGCGGTGGTTGGCTGTCGGAAGCATGGCTCCTCTGTCGGTACTCATTACCGCTCATCGCCACCTATCTGCTACAATACTCGTTCACCGTCATCACAACATTCGTGGCTGGCCACCTCAGCGCCGATGACCTCGCCGCCGCTAGCATTGGTCTGACGACCATGAACATCATCGGCCTAGCTATCTACGAGGGCATGGCTACCGCCCTGGATACCCTCTGCGCCCAGGCCCACGGTTCTGGTCGCCTTACCGCCGTTGGCCTACATGTTCAACGCATGCTCATTCTCATGGCCCTCGCTACCGTCCCCATTGGGCTCTTCTGGGTCTTTTCGCCATCGGTTCTCTCCCTGTTCGTCAAGCAGCACCACCTGGCCGTCAAGGCCGGCACGTTCCTCCGTGTCAGTTTGATCGGCATGCCCGGCTACGCCGCTTTCGAAGCCCTCAAGAGGTTCCTCCAGGCCCAGGGCGATTTCAAGAGCGCCATGGTCGTCCTCATTATCTGCGCCCCCATCAACGCCCTTCTCAGTTGGCTGTTCGCTTTCAAGCTGAACATGGGTCTGGAAGGCGCTGCCCTGGGCCAGGCTCTGGCCAACGACCTGCGTCCCGTCCTTCTGCTCATCTACATCGTCGTCTGGGGCCAGTGGTCGCACCAGTGCTGGGGTGGATTCTCTCGCAAGGCCTTCACTGAGTGGAGCGTGCCGGTGCGACTCTCCATCGCCGGATCGGCTGTCAACCTGGGCGAGTGGGCTGCCTTTGAAATCTTGACGCTCAGCACATCCTACCTGAGCACCGAGCATCTTGCCGCACAAACTATCTTGACGACCATCTCCGTCGTCATGTGGCACATCCCCTTCTCCATCTCGGTTGCCATCAGCACCCGCATCGGTCACTTGATCGGCGGCGGGCTCGTAGCGACCGCTCGGCGAGCCACAACCGTATACGCCATCGTCTTTACCGTCGTCGGTATCCTGGACGCCATTCTAATCTTCCTATTCCGCCACCAGCTCGCCCTTGTATTCTCTGAGGACGCCGAGGTCCAAAGGCTCACGTCCGACTCCATGCTTGCGGTTGCGGCTTTCCAGCTCATCGACTCCATCATCAGCGGATGCAACGGCGTGCTGCGGGGTCTCGGCCGGCAGGCGGTCGCGGCTTTTGTCGTATTTGCCGTGAACTATCTGGCTGCAGTACCGCTCGCGGTCTGGCTCGAGCTGGGATCACCAGGCCTAGAGCTGGATGGTGCCTGGATAGGCCTTGGTGGCGGCATGGTTGTCATCGCCATTATCGAGTGCATTTACATGAAGGTGATCCGATGGCAAGACTGTGTCGAAAGTGTGAGAGATAGAGAAGGCATGTAATGGATTCATTCCAATTCAACAAAAAGCGGACTAGCATACAAATACCATAGACAAGTTGATTAGACTTTATCATTTTCACGATACATCGGTCCCCCAACTGTAAGGAAACTTCATCTTGGCCGCACCGTTATCCCTAGTTCCCTATTGAGTGCGCCGCTAAAGAACACTATTTCGCTGACGTATGCAGCATGACAGCATTTGACATATGGTGGTGATGAGACGGAGTCGCGTGAAGGAGAGACCACCTGGCGGGGACCACCTCAGCCCCTTTTCAGTGGGCCTTTGCCTTATGTCAGCGAGGCTCCATTAGAACAGTGCGATGCACAGTCTTCACATCCAACCGTCGGCATGTTGAATGGACGACTTGCACCTTCACGTCTGCAACTATCTACAACCTGAAAGCACAACCTCAAACAGCAACCTGCTGGCTTGCCCAATTCCGACAACAAAGTTACCCAGGACTTCTAATCAATATCGAAGTCTTTTGACCACTGCCGCCGTTCAAGGCTGCCCAGCCAATCTCGCATCGCCACTAAATGGCGGTCCATCGACGTTGAGAATAAGTACACGATGCCCGGCACCGGGGCCCAAGCCCATCCCGATGCTGCCCAGGAGCGGCCGCCTTGTACGGTCTGCTACGATCTCGACAAGGCGCATATGCCTGGATCTGTCGACTACATGGATCTTTTCTGCGATCTCAGGAGCATTGTTAAGGCCGGTAAGAAGGGATGCCAAATATGCTACGCCATCAAAGTTGCTATCTTTTGGGGCAATAATGTCAACGTTCCCAAGAAGAATCTAATGCTTGATGATTCATACGCCGTCATTTACCTGTTTGAGACTATCTCTATCCAATCATCTGTCAAATATCGGGACTCCACGAACAATGTCATTGTCGTGAAGGGCCTAGTCGATTTGTTCACGAAACCAGGTGAGAAAGTGATGAACCTTCAGAGGGCTTTCAGGATGGATATTGACACGTTCGAAGGCAAGCCGCTGCCGTGGAAGTCTATCGGAGTCTCTAATGAGATTCCTCTCAAACTACACCTTAAGCATCGGCAGAAGACGATCCGTGGATGGGTCGATGAATGCAATGCAACACACAAGGCATGTGGCACGAGGATGTACCCGTCTGAGCCCGGTCTTGCTCCTCGGCGGTTCCTGGATCTTGGAAAAAGCCCGCGGAACGGTATCAAACTGGTCGACTCTTGTTCAGTGTCCGGGCCCTACATCACCGTCGTCCACGGCTACACCGGCCCGTTACCGGCTCCTTCATCGTTGACAACCTCGGAAAACTTCGACCAGCGCCAAAAGTCTTTGCAGTGGTGGCAAATACCTGTGGCCCTGCAAGAGACCATGACGGTCGCTAGTGAATTGGGTTTCCAGTATGCTTGGGTCCAGGATTTCTGTGTCATTCAAGACATCGAAGAAGACGTAAACTGGCACTTGGCTCGAGAGGATATCATCTTTGGACGGTCATACCTCACTATCGCCTTGACAAGCGTTAAAGATCTCAGGCTGAGCAATTTCGGCCCCAAACGACAGAACAGCATAGCCGGCGTCGAAAACGCGGGTAGATCCGTTGCCATTCAAGTCAGTAGATTTGGCCGCCCACACTACATTTATGCTCGGCAGAGTATGCTTTGGCATGACGCGGCATTCGCCAACAAGACCTTGTTGCGGCCCGTGGATGATGACGAAAAATCAAATGTCTCTGAAGAACACCATGAACTCCTCCAGCATGGCCCTGCTTTCCAACGCCTTTTGCTGTCTCGCAGGGTGCTCTATCTGCACAAGTCAGAGCTAGTGTGGGACTGCCTTGAACGGCCCAGATGCGAGTGCGATAGCCCGTGCTTTGGACAAGGACGAAAGGTCATAGTGAACATCCTGCAGAAACACACCTGGATTTCGGGCGGGGCCGTGTCGGGAGGCACCGTCGGGTCTCCCGACTTTGTGCTCAAACTTTACAAAGCCCTCACGCCGGCCAACCCTGAAGAGAAGCTGGCAGTTGTCGCCGGCCTCTTTCGACAAATCCTTCGTCTCAATGGAAGATCCTACTTCGCCGGCATCGCAGTAGACACACCTGAAGAGCTGTCGCGTGACCTTCTATGGACCACCCTGCCGCCTGAGAGGGCGCAACCGAACCAGCTTGACCAAGATTCCCCATCTATCACAGACGCATACCGACATCACACCAGTCGCATCCCGTCATGGTCCTGGGCATCCATGGTTCTGAGCAAGGGAACTACATTTGGAGGAGCCTCACAGCTATCGCCAGGCAACACATTCGACTTGGTCTATCGCAGTATGTTATTCGGCTCCGTGGGAATGTTCTACGACGAGTTGCCCGGATCCGACGATAGTCTGCTAGCCACCAACTACCGCATAAAAGCCAAAGCGGCGATTCGACCGATCACTGCCGTGCCACCGATAGGCAGAAGACCCCTAATCCCACATCTGTTTAGCTGTTACGACGGTGATCCCTTGGATCGCAATTCTCACATGATCTTCCGGTTTCTGCCGGATTGCGCGAGGCTTCGCGGTTCGTTCCAAGCCAGTGATGGGTTCAAATGTTACATTATGCTGCTAGGCGTCGTGACGCCAGTTGGGCATGACCGGGAGTGCCCAATCAACCAGTCTTGTACCTGTGCACATACTGAAAACCACCTGCAAGTTGGCTTGGTCCTGCGAGAATCGCTGCGGAATGAGGGTGCATTCGAGCGGATTGGGACGTTTGCAGTATCGGAGACTCGCGGCATGTTCTTGGGAGTCGTGCCGCGTGACTTGACCCTAGTCTGATGCAGAATGGATGGCTTTTTTTTAGCTGCTGGGGGGACTTTTTGTTATGCCAAGGTCGGCATAAATCAATACCAATTTCCAAAGAATGACAAGACAACCTCGATGATTGTTTCCTTCATGGAAAGAAAGTAGGACGACTTCTAAAAATGCTAGATATGCTGGTAGTCGAAGGTCGTCGGAAGTGGGGCACGGCCCGGCCATGAACTGACATGTCCGGCTCTCTGATGCAAGTGATAGGAAGCACACAACAATGCAAACATTGATAGGCGTCTAAATTCGCTTAAATCATCTCAAGTGTTGATGATTGACGTTTCCGTTATGCCTTTGAGCACTTGACACTAGGCACACAGTTACAATTCGATGCACATGCAGAGCCTGACCAAGCCCCTCTCCATGCATCTGCTAGTAGCTGCCAGTACCTACGGCCAACTGCCGGACAGTCACAACACCAAAAAGGGAGGACACTGCAAGTGAGAGGTGAAGTATCTCAAAATGCAAAAGAAGAGACGCGATCGGTGGGACTCGAACCCACAGCCTTCCGATGATCTTTTACTCGTAAAAGTCGGACGCTCTGACCAAATTGAGCTACGAAAGCAACCGCTGTTGGATGACGATTCCCGTTCAGATTGGGGCTTAGGTATTGTTTATTGTAGACTGGTGGAGCAGCCCCTCCAATGGGTCCATGTCCGCCCCGGTCAAGTCCGTCAGCCGAGGAGCCGGTGTCTTTGTTCGTTCTGCTGTTGACTCATCTTTCCAGGTGACACCAGAGTTTGGGTGTGAGTAATTTCGTTGCTATTGTTGTTATTGTCAATGACTCTATGAGACGTCAGCATAGTTTTTGTCAACCAATCTTGTTGCTCGGAACACGGCGAAAGTGGCAAGTTGTTAGCTCGATTGTTTGTGGGTTGTAAATCCTCCCTTGCAGAAGCTCGCAGAAGATTAGCATCCATGAATCCAACTACGAGCAGTAGACACCAGCAACAACCACTTGGATCGATAGCTCAGTGGTAGAGCGAGAGATTGCAGTTCCTCAGCTGTAACTATCTCTAGGCCCCGCGTTCGAATCGCGGTCGGTCCTTGAATTCCCTTTTGTCATTTGCTGCAGATTGACGGTGAGCAGAAGTGAGAGAGTTTGCTACGTTTTTGTTGTGTGTGTCTCCGCAAAGGGATGGGACTCGCTTCGCGTGCATTTTGGGGTTGTCCACTTAGAGTTGAGCTAGGAGGGTCCACCGATTATGTAAATGACTCGGCCGGACCTCTCGACTAGAATTACTTCGTAGAGCGGGGATGAATGAGGCGGAATCAGTCTTCATAATTGTACTTCGATGCGAGTATGTAATGTAATGTATGCAGGTTCATGAGAAAGAGAGTATTTGTGTGATCGGCGGATTTGTCAATATCAAAGAGGCACCATGAGAGCGGCACCCGCCATTACCGCAACTCCCCAAACAGCCATCATAACGCCATTAACCATAGACGAACCGGCGGCCTTAGAAGAAACTCCAGAACTGGGCGTCTCAGTCGGGCCCGTGGACGAACTCTCTCCAGAACCAGCAGCCGAGGTCTGAACTGCAGCCTCAGAAAGACCCTTATTCACAAGCGTGATCCCAGGCGTGATCAACGCGCCAACGTAACTCGTGCTGTCCTTTGCCTCAATAGTCACTGTGTTCGGTTGCAACGAAACAACCGAGCCCTTGATCGATATGGAGCTGCCTGTAACGACTCTCCCGTGGAAAGTGAACGTGCGGTCTACCACTTCCACATCGTTTACATTGTACAACTTGCAACCTGTAGACGCAGTGTAAACCTCTCTGGCGGTCGAAGAGTAGCAGTTCCCATATAGTCCCGCGGTATACCCACTAAGAAAAAGAAGAACACATCATCAGACCTTTCCTAGCTTTCGAGAAGGAGAGCTAACTTCAAAAGGGTGCTGAGCTTACCTCGGACAACACGCGATCACAGTCTCCGAAGGCTCCATCGCAGACATGAACAAATCCGCCCTCAACTCAAACGTGGGGTTAATCTCCGACGCAATAGACGTGGTCGTCCCGGCGTCGAAGGTCAGCGTCGGGTCGGCAAAGACGCCGCTCAATGAATGCGACGATGTCTCATCGCGGATACCGTAGCCTGCGGTGACCCATCCGGAGGGACACTGGCTGCCCGGGGAATAATGGAAGAGGAACCGCTCAGTAGAGGTCCGG